CAGTGGTTATCTGGGCCTGGGTAAGGGTGGATTAAAACACCACGTCACCTTCGCGTCCTTGAGAGAATCTGCTCTGCTCAGGGCTATCTGGGTTCTCCCTTCTCGTGTCTTTAAAATTTTTTTTTTCTTCAGCTGCGTCAGTTTCAAGCAGTGATGTCATGGAGACCTCCGAAACTAGTTTGTAGTGGTACTTCCTCTTTCCCCCAGTGACTCTAGGGATGAGATTCCTTACATGGGGTCTGTGGGGCTGTCCCTGGTGCTCCAGAGCTGGCTTCGTGTTTTGCCCAGTCTCACGGTCATTGATGCTGTTCTTTCTCAGGAGGATCAGCATTCCCACACAGGCCTGGCATCAGAAGCGTCATGGAATTCTTATCTCTCTGTCTGTCTGTCTGTCTATCTGTCTACTTATCTCTCGGGGTTAGAAAAACAGAAAAATATGTCATGACTTTCTCAACAACCTAATGTTTATTCCACAGAATTTCTATCTATTTATTTATTTTTAAGACTGTTTTTCTTTTTCCTGAGATTTTTGCTAGAGGGCATGCGAGCTCACCAGAGAGACAGACAGAAAGTAAGAGCGAAATCACCCCCTGGGGTGATGGTCACACTGCAATTCCTTTTCTCAGGATTTTGGGCATGCATGCACATGCTCGTGTGAATTTCAAGCTGCCAGTATAGGACTCATACTGATTGGCCACATGGGAGTCTAGCACTTTAAACACTATACCATCTGCTGGCCCCTGTGTGTGTGTGTGTGTGTGTGTGTGTGTGTGTGTGTATTTTAGTTTTATTTATTCATTATTATTCTTTAATTCACCTGAGAGTGACAGAGAGCGAACGAGCGAGAAAGCAAGTTGCTAGGTCTGGGACTCGAATCATGGTCAGCCATGTGGAAATCTAGCACTTTAACCATCATGCCACCTGCAGCCCCCTCCCCCCTTTGTCCCTGTTTTTAAGGAGTTTTGCCATAGGGCATGTGCGTTCACCAAAGAGAGAGAGGGGGAGTGTAAGAAATCACCTCTTAGGGGGGATGGCACACCACAATCCCTCTCCATTCCCCTCTTGCGATTTTGGGCACACATGCACATGTGCCCAGTATGATTTTTAGGTTTGGGACGTGATTTTACTAGGTTTGGGACGTGAAGCACAGTTGGCCATGTGGGAGTTCAGTACCTTAACCATTATGCTACCTATTGGCCCTCAGAATTTATTTAAATCAATTAATTTTTTTAGAATTATTTTATTTAACTTTATTTATTTATTTATTTATTTATTTATTTCAATTTGACCAGAGAGGGACAGAGGGAGAGAAAGAGAAAGAAAGCAAGCCTCCAAGTCTGACTTGAATTGTAGTCGGCCATGTGGGAGTCCAGTGCCCTTAACTACCACACCACCTACCTGCCACCCCCTAAATCAATTTAAAAATTTTTAAAAAAGAATTATTATTTGACATTATTTATTTATTTACTTATTTATTTTCATTTGACCAGAGAGAGACAGAGTGAGAGAGAGAGAGAAAGAGAAAGAAAGCAAGCCTCCAAGTCTGACTTGAATTGTAGTCGGCCATGTGGGAGTCCAGTGCCCTTAACTACCACACCACCTGCCTGTTGGCCCCTACATCAATTAAAAAAAGTTTTTAAAAAAGATTATTATTTGATATTTATCTATTTATTTAAATTTGACCAGAGAGGGACAGAGAGAGAGA